AAAAAAAAAAAAAAAAAAAAAAACCACAATTGGAAATGCTTCAAGGGGAAAAATATACCATTGAAGAGGAGCAACTTGATCTAAAATTTTAACATAAAATATTTGAAGGTAAAATCAATTCTACTAATATGTTCATGACATCTACAGTAGTTAAAAACTAAACATAAAGGTATGTTCTTATGAGAACTTTTTGCCTTTTACTTACCATAAGCTGTTCCTGGGCCAAACTCAGTGCCTGCATCGATCATATGTTGTCCCAAAAGTTCTGGGTTGTTTACACGAGTTGGAGCTTTTCTATCCAGTTTCTCATAAACAAATTCTTCTATCCTGGCATCTAGGAGAAAGGCAAAAATTAACAATGATTTCAAAAAAAGCAAAGCTATTTAAAAGACTCTTTTGTTCCCCTATCATTTACTGTCTCTTAAATATGAAATTAACATTTATTCAAGCACATATCTTAATATATAATTTTTTTATTTCTATATTAGACTATTATATAACTATAAAACATTTATATTTTAGAAAGTTCATAAAGGATCTTGGCACAAAAACATTTTAAAATAAAGCTAAAGGGCAGCGCCTGTGGCTCAGTGGGTAGGGCACTGGTTCTATATACCGAGGGTGGCGGGTTTGAATCCAGCCCCGGCCAAACTGCAACAAAATATAGCCAGGCGTTGTAGCAGGCGCCCGTAGTCCCAGCTATTTGGCAGGCTGAGGCAAAAGAATTGCCTAAGCCCAGGAGTTGGAGGTTGCTATGAGCTGTGATGCCACTGGCATCTCTACCGAGGGTGATAAAGTAAGACTCTATCTCTAAAAATAAATAAATAAACAAAAATAAATTAAATAAAGCTGAAGCTATTATTTGAGTATTCTATGAAATTTAAGTTCCAAAAAAGGATTGAGACTAATTCACTTACTATTTAGCTGCCTTTGGCTTATTTTTTAGCTGTTTTAGTCTTTATTTTTAATTCTGAATATATATTTATAATTTCAAAATCAGTAATTTCAAAATTAGCAATTTCCAGCTAAGAAACTGTGGACATAAAGTACCTAGACAAAGGAAAAAGCCATTTCTGACAGCTTTGGTGTTAGCATGTGCTCTTCTCTTTTTTATAGAGTCTAAATATAGACACAAGCACTTAAAGAAAAAACAATCCAGGCTTGGAATAGTATATAAGATATATTAGCAATATGATCCTTTGGCTTTAGTTTAATTATGTTTAAAGTAATACTTACCTCTAAATGTGCACTTACTCAAAAGATTTTGCCATTAAAAATAGGTTTAAAATAGAAGACAACAGATTAAACCCATTAATAAGACATTTGCATAAACAGGAAAAAACTAGTAATAAACAGTTGGTTAACACAGTATTTAAGACCAAAAGAAATTCACATTTACACTACTGTCTAACACTGAGGTACTTCAGGGATAAATGAGAAAATGGCAAGTTTCCATAAATAATGATAAATTAGAATTACAACCCCAAAAGAACCTAAGTCAAATAAGGTTCCCTCTAAGCACCTCACATAGACTCCTACCATAATTCCAAATTTCATACAGTGTTGAAAATTCCATAAATGAGCTGAACCAGTAACACAAACACCTCAAGAGTTGGCAAAAGGGTTATATATAAACCCTCTGTTTATAATACATAAAACAGAGTTTAGGTTCATTTTTGTGGCAGATTCCAGTGTAAAATCAGAAGAGTTATTTTTAAGCAGAAATTTAAAAATCTTTATATTAGTTAAAACCAAAATGAGTCTTTTAAAAACATAACCATTTAGAACAGTGGTTCTCAACCTTCCTAATGCTGCGGCCCTTTAATACAGTTCCTGTGGGTTGCGACCCACAGGTTGAGAACAGCTGATTTAGAAGATACTACTTAACTTTCAGAAGTTCACTATCTGATTGTGAGTGATTCTTACCTTTGACTGCTTCTCTACCTACTTGGTCCAAAGTTCAAAGCTGAGTCCTATGTTGACTTCCTTCAGTTACTAAAATGTTCAGTATGTGTGAACACACACACACACACGGGTGTGTATATATATATATATATATACGTGTGTGTGTGTGTTTTTTGGAGACAGAGTCTTATTATGTTGCCCTTGGTAGAGTGTGGTGGCATCACAGCTCACAGCAACCTCAAAACTCTTGGGTCCAAATGATTCTCTTGCCTCAGTCTCCCTAGTAGCTAGGACTACAAGCACCCACCATAACACCCGGCTATGGTGGGTTCCAACCCACCAGCTCAGGTGCATGGGGCTGGCTCCCTAACCACTGAGCTATGGGCACTGAGCCTAAAATGTTTAATATATTAATAAATGTTTAATTTCAACAGGTCCAAATAAAATCTTTACAAAATATGCAGATAATTCTGCTATAATGTACCATATATTTCTACATAACATATTCTTGAAAACTTCTAGTTTCTAAAAAATTATACACTAAAAGTAACATAGGGCTTACAGAAAAAATAAGGTTGACCACTCAAAATTTTTTGTAATTCTGTAACCAGAACACAAACAAAACCCAAAACAGTTTAGTTATTACTTCATGACACAATGGGTGGAAGCTGGAGGGAGTTGTGTATTTCCCTGTTCACTAGCCATGTAGGAGCTTATTATCTGCCATTCATAAAAACATGCAAGTAGAGAGAGGAACCAGAGGACAAATATCTATTACTTTTTTAAAGTGCTGTGGTATGTAAATTAAACAGCCTTAAATAAATAATAAAGACTACATGGTGTCTAAAGGTAATTAATAAGCCTCACTCAAAATGTAAAAGGCTTATTTTATAAGGCCACAATTTAACAGAAAAGACACAGAACTACTAACATACCATAGTGACTGAAGTTTAAGTTAGTACTTAAAGTTAATGGCACTTTACGACATGGTCACAATAATACAGGGAAGAGAGAAGGAAAATATGTATTTTGCTTTTGACATTCAGTTTTGATAGGCAAAACTCATAGTTAAAAGGACTGGATGTTAATACAGCTGGTTTTATCTAGTCCTAGTTTCACTTCTAATTGGCTAGACTACTTTGGAAAAGATGCTAACTTGTGAGTTTTAATTCGATAAACAATTACTGTGCACCTTATTTGCAAGGTTATTGAGTTATGTGAAAAACCTCAGTTGTCTGAAGATCAAATGAAATACTTTACATAAAAATATAAAACTTTACATAAACATAAAAAACTGGTAATTATGCATCTTAATGATTTTCAATTATATAGGGACAATTCTTCCCTGGATAAAAGGAAAATGTATTTATCTTCACTGTCCCTCATAAATCCTAAAATTCAAAGTCACTGCTTAAAATTAAGGTTTCAAGATGATTCAACAAAAGTCTGAAAAATGTCACTGTAAACTGCTAGAGGGTACGAGAAATAGAAATGTTTATTATTTTTTCTTTTTTTACAAAGTCACCATCAAAAAATTCTATGTTTTTACCTAGTCATTAAAAATGTTTTAAACATTAAAAGAAACCACCAGTAGTATTTAAGGTAGACAGAAAGTAAAAAAGTTTCTTACTTGGATTTGGCTGCAATAACACTTCAGTTTGTTTCATTATTTTTTCTGTCCATATTTTGGTACATTCAGCTTTGCTAAGGAGGTTCTCTAAGTGAGCATCCAATTCTGTCTTCTCAGCCTGGCCAAGTTTTTCTTCTGTGAACTATTATTAAAGAAAAAAAAATTCAATGTACTTCAACTGTTAGCAAACTATGTGAATAAGATGTAAACTCAAATCCAAACAATCCTAAACATACAAATAACTGTGCTGCAGGTGTGTCTGTAAGTCACTGCTTATGAATGCTTTGTCTGCCCCCATCGTGATTTATCCATCCCTCTTTTGTGGCATTTATGATAACCTTATCTTATAGTCATCACATATCCTTAGTGCTGCTAAAATGTAAATTCCATAGAAAACACAGCATATTGCTTGGTATACAGAACATATAACTATTTCTTACAAGTAAAGGCAGACAGCTTCACCGCGAGAAGGAAGAGCTTGGAGTCAGTTAGATCAAACCCTAAGTGCACGACCTGAGTGGGCTTCTGAATGTCTTTTCTTTAGTATCCTCTCTTGCAAAAGGGAAATACATATCTTACAGTATTTTGAGGATTAACTAAGAACTCTCTTTGTTCACTGCCTGGTAATTATTTAAACTTAAAAACATGTTTATTATGTTTTGTGTATGATTAGCACTTTAATCACACCTTATTTAGATAGGCTTTTATGGGATGTTTTGGGATACTGTCATTTGTTTCTTTAAGCTATGTCAGCAATTTGCAAGCTAACTTTTGGAACATCCTATCCAAACTGTGGAGGCATCTTTTAAACATCATAAAATGTAGTTAAACATAATCAATATATCAATTTTTATTATACTGAGAGTATTGGTGGTTGAGGAAAGGTAGCACTGCCTAAACGAGTAAAGAGATAAAAAGTTTCTGTGTAGCTCTAGAGCCTTCTGGATACTTAATTAAACACCAGAAGTGATGACTAAAGCTGTTTATCATGTGTCATTTTCCTTTAGAACACGTGGTTTTCTCCCATCTTAACAGGTATATTACCAGCACTAATTCTATGCTCAGTAATGACTCACTTCTAGCTAACAAAACAATGTTCATCTTGTCTTTTTTCCCTCTTACATTTCTTAAAAATCTCTTTTGCTGCTCTTCTAAGTTTTGTTGATCTGTTTCTTTCAGCATCCTTCTTCTTGGTCAAATACTTTATTATCAACACCTTTACCTGAAGGGTCCTGTAGAATTTTATTCTTAGACTTCTGGTTATAATCCCTATTGAATTTCCTGACCAGGGGCTACAAATAACAGCTTAAATAGTTTTTGTTAAGTGTTGGGTCTCTTTGAGACTGGCCTATATCCAGGCCCTGATCCAATGGATAGAACTGAAAATAGCAGTTCCAAGGCTACTGCTTAAGCCAGTGGTTCTCAACCTTTCTAATGCCACAACACTTTAATACAGTTCCTCAGGTTGTGGTGAGCCCCAACCATAAAATTGTTTTTGTTGCTACTTCGTAACTATAATTTGCTATTGTTATGAATCGTAATGTAAGTATCTGATATGCGGGATGTATTTTCATTGTTACAAAGGGGTCACGACCCACAGGTTGACAATCACTGGCTTAAGCCCATAAACCAGTATACAGTTAGAAGACTGAGGACTGGGCAAAAGTAAGCTCTGATCCTGGGGTCAGCTGGCTAAACTATACAACCTCATTCTTTTTTTTTTTTTTTAATCTCAGGTTATTGTGAGGGTACAAATAACCAGGTCAAATTTTTGAATTTGTTAGAGTCTCTCATGTAGTTGTTTCCTGCACCCATAAGATGTGCTATACACCACCACCTTGTGACCTTGTGCCCTTTAAGTGGGAGCACAATCCCCCATCCTCTGAACTTGAATACAATTAAGTTGTTCTCCTTTGTGGGAGTGTGTTAGATAGGCTACTGGCTTCATATTAGAATTGAGTACTTTTTTTTTTTTTCAGACAGAGTCTACGTTGCCCTTGGTAGACTGCTGTGGCGTCACAGCTCACAGCAACCTTTATCTAACTCATGGGCTTAAGTGATTCTACTGCCTCAGCCTCCCAAGTAGCTTGGACTACAGGTGCCTGTCACAAGGCCTTGCTATTTTTATTTTTGTTCCTGTAGTTGTCATTGTTGTTTGGCAGGCCTGGGCTGGGTTTGAACCCAGCTCCAGTGTCTGTGGCTGGCGCTCTAGCCACTAAGCTATAGGCCCCAAGCCAGAATTGAGTACATTAGATACTTGCTTTTCCATTCTTGTGATACTTTACGAAGAAGGATGTGTTTCAGCTCCACCCAGGTTAATGCAAAAGATGTAAAGTCTCCATCTTTTCTTATGGCTGAATAGTACTCCATGGTATACACATATCACAGCTTATTAATTCATTCCTGAGTTGATGGGCATTTGGGTCGTTTCCGTATCTTGTAAACTGAGCTGCAATAAACATTCAGTGCAAATGTCTTTATGATAAAATAATTTTTTTTCTTCTGGATAGATGCCTAGTTGTGGGACTGCATGGTCAATTGGGAGGTCTAATTTGAATTCTTTGAGAACTCTCCATACTTCTTTTCAATGAAGCTGTATTAGTTTGCAGTCCCACCAACAGGGTAAAAGTGTCCCTCTCTCTTCACACATGCGCCAGTATCTGCAACTCTGGGACTTTGTAATGTGGGCTTTTCTCATTGGGGTCAGGTGATGTCTCAGGGAACTTTTGATCTGCATTTCTCTGATGATTAGGGATGATGAGCATTTTTTCATGTTTGTTTGCTATTTGTCTGTCTTCCTCAGAGAAGATTCTATACAAGGTTCTCTTGCCTAGTGGTAAATGGGATTGTTGGGTCTTTTTTGTTGATTAATTTGAGTTGTCTATAGATCCTAGTCATAAAGCCTTTGTCGCATTCATACCCTGCAAATATCTTTTCCCATTCTGAAGGTTGTATATTTGCTTTAATTGTTGTGCAAAAGCTTTTCAGTTTAATTAAGTTCCATTTGTTTATTTTTGTTGTGATTGCCGCTAAAGTCTTCTTCATAAAATCTTTCCCCAGGCCAAAATCCTCAAGAGTTTTTCCTATACTTTCTTCTAAGATTTTTATCATTTCATGTCTTAAATTTTAATCTTTTGTCCATCTTGAGTCAATTTTGTAAGTGGTGAAAGGTACGGGTCCAATTTCAGTCTTTTACATGTGGTTATCCAGTTCTCCGAGCACCATTTATTGAATAGGGGTTCTTTTGGTTGTTTTCCCTAGTATATGCTTTTGTTTGGTTTATCAAAGATCAGAGAGAAACCAGGCTACAAGAGGCGGGGTTCATCTCTTGGTTTTCTATTTGGTTCTGTATGTCTATGTCTCTATTTTTGGGTCAATATCATGCTGTTTTGATCACTGTGGACTTGTAATTACAACCTCATTCTTAAGAGAAAACCTGGTGTTCTTCACAAATCCCTGAAGATTCTAAGTGACAGACCTACCTCCTTCTAGAATTTTGAGTGTGGTGGCTCATGCCTGTAATCCCAGCACTATGGGAGGCTGAGGAGGGAGAAGTGCTTAAGCTCAGGAGTTTGAGCCTTGCCTGAGTGAGAGTGAGACCCTGATTCCTAAAAAAACGGAAAAACCCAGCTGGGCACTGCAGTGACCACCTGTAATCCCAGTGGCTTCCAGAGGCTGAGGTAGTGGGATACTCACAGCCTGAGTCAGAGGTTGCGAGCTACAAAGCCACTGCACCCTGCTCAGGCGCATAGGGTGGGACTCTGTCTTAACAACAGCAGCAACAAAAAAATAAAAATAAAAATAAAAAAATAAAGGAATAATTAAATACAGAATTTTATATGTTCAAAGTCTATCATCAATGGCTAGATAGAATATCTTGCAGATATAGCAAGCAATAGGAAGGGAAGACAGGGAATACACCCAGGTGATCATCATCTATAAGGAATGATCTAAGGCCAGGCACGGTGGTTCACGCCTGTAATCTTAGCACTCAGGGAGGCTGAGGCAGGTGGACTCTTGAGCTCAGGAGTTCAAGACCAGCCTAAGCAAGAGTGAGACCTCCATCTTTACTAAAGAGAATGAGCTGGGTGTGGTGGTACGGGCCTATAGTCCCAGCTACTCAGGAGGCTGAGGCTAAAAACATCGCTTGAGCCCAGGAGTTTGAGGTGACAAAGTGAGACTCTGTCTCAAAAAAAAAAAAAAAAAAATTGGAACTATATATCTAAGGTTCCCTTAAGTATATCTATTTGTTTGTTCATTTCATTCTGTCCTTCAACAAATATTAAACACCTGAATATATGCTAGGCACTATTCTAAGCTTGAGTTTCAGCAGCCAACAAAAACAGACAAGGTTTTTTGTTCTTACAAAGCTTGCATTTTAATAGAGAAAACATAATTTGATGAGGATACAAAGGAATAAAGATGGTAAAGAAAGGACCAATATAAGTGGTTCTCGTTGCTTCTAAGTGACATAATCTGTGCATTATAAGAAATCATTCTTTGGGGGAGGGGGCAGGAGCATCAGGGAAGGCTTCAATAGGGAAGCAATGGACGGCTCAGATCTAGATGTGGGTGGAGGAGTTTGAGGAACATGAGATGGGTATGGTTAGAGAAATACCAGCAGCACCTCTGAGAAGGTAACGTATGACATGCAACTGAATGATATGTAAAAGAGCTAAAGAAGTAATTATACAATCCTATGATATCTTATCTTCTAGCTGGACCATTTCTATAGAATCATTAGCACTATTTTATGCATATTAAATATTAATTTCTTTGTAGAAATCTTCAATTTATGTATTTAATAATAGTGAATAAAAGAAAATCAACGGATCAATAATTTAAAAATTGGTATTCATTAGGTGTTTGTGTAAGGCACTTTTCTAAGAACTAAAAGACATAATGTTATGCAAAAGAACTAAATGAAAAATATAAGGAATATGAACCTATAGGCCTATTTTTCTCAGTATATAAAGTGTTAAACTTTAAAAGGTGTTTTAGAAAAATACTGGAATTAAATGTGCAGACTAGAAATCACTAAAAAATGTTCAGAAATAGTAATTAAAGAAATAGTCACTGAACTTCTGTGATGTAAGTTTGGATTCAGGGCATGTTTCCTCCTTTCAATATTTTGAAGAACCA